GACATAAAAAATATACTTTGGAAGCGAGTGATATTAAATCTAGAATTTTGAAGAAAAAGAGTCAATGCAACTACGCTAATGTGACTGAATTCAATTCATGTTACTTATGGTTTCTAACCACAAAATACGATTTTTGTGAGCATCATTGCACTAAATAGCAAGGTTAAAAGCAGTAATCACTGGTATTATAAACTTATGTCATGTTTTCATTTTGTTGCCTTTCAACTTCCACTTATCTAATCCCATATAATTCAGCATTAATCGTCTAGATAAGTAGAATCATATATATCAGTTAAATTCTAAAACATGCATAGCAACACCTAAAAGATTTTAAATTTATCCGCCAATAAAAAGTCATTGACAATGTTATACAACTAGTTCATATAAAGTCGAATAAAATTTTGTTGGTGCATAAGAATAGCGAAATTTTCAATCTTAATTCTATCATAAATAACAAGACATAATAACCAGCACAAAAATAAGTCATAAAACATGGTCAGTTTATGATAAGTCTGTTTATATGATTAGATAAATTTCAAAACCACAATATTAATAAAAAGGATTTAAATCCACAATAAATTTTAGTATTTGAAAGGTACTATATACATATCATTAAACTCATAATACTCATTAACTTTGAATAAGATGTGTATATAAATCATTAGAAACACTAGGAAAATATTATTTTCAAATTTAAGTAATCAGTATGAAGTTTCTAATCTAGATACCGAGTTTGTTCCTGACCGTAGCTGCTACCTTGACGCGGTGGTCGGACTTGCCTATCGTGATGACCTAACCGAGCTATATTGGCTAGAACATATGTTCCTGTAGGTTCTACCATACCAGGCAGATCAATTGGAGAACGGTAAGACTAAAAGCAGCAACTCGAGGTCTGAGGGCGAGGTCATACTACTGACTGTAGAGGGGTGTGACAGCAGTAGGGTGTTTTCCTCGGACAACTAGCATCTGAAGCGTTGCTGCCTTCTCACAAGGAAGGAAGGGGTTAGAAAAGGTTGACCCTAAAAATGTCACACCTCACCTTACCTCACAGATTTCCACCTCCAGCGGTAAGGCCTTTTGAAGAACGGAGCTAACACATTAAAAACCTTCCACGAAAAGGCCGTGCGCAACCGGCCTCAATCAGTTGTCCCTTGGGCTCTGCGGTCACGCCCCCAGATCGTTAAGACCAACACTAATCCAACCTAATTTTCAGGTTCCCCAAGAAATATCCTTTCACGGTGTGGGCACTCGGGAATCGACACCAGCCCTCATACCCGTAATAACACACGAGACCAAGTTGGTCACATTTAAATCCTTCCTGACTACCGAGTTCGTTGGGAACTCGTTCGTCATTATATTAAACAAAAAGAAGCCTAAACTTTTATAGGGTCATATTAGGGTCATTCAGTAAAAATATGGTATCGATTCAAATCTCATAAATTACATTAGTACAATTAGGGAAGAAATCCACATAGCAAAATTCGTAGAATCTAAAATAACCCCATCGAGGTTATTGAAAACTAAACAAATGGAAAATAATCCGAAAACAAAGAGTTTAATTAAAAGAATTAAAGTATGAGTAGGCTATCATTTGGCTTTTATAACTATGTATTATAGTATTGAATTATGATAGTGATATCAACTAGGAAATTTACACCTTTGAACATGAATGATATCAACAGTCAGTAATACTGATGACCTTCTTGAATATCTGGGCTACCTGTCCCTGCCATTTAGACATTTCAACTAGCTATCTGCTTTTGATCAGTATATGGTTGTTTTTTTTAACACATCATTATGTTTATGAATCGCATAACCTATTCGGGTGCGTTTATGAAACGTTTTCAACTTTTCACTATACAAGTTACAATCAGAGACATCGTGGTGTTTGGCAGTATACATTGATAAGAATGAACAATATTCAGATGTTAATTCCTAAACTGTTAACATCTAATTGGTAACCACTCAATATTTATCGTCGGGATCGAACAAGAAATAAGAAAAAAACTTTCTGGGATACTTCGTGCTGAGAATTTTATATTGTACCAAAAATCTAATATTTATTAAAGCCATTAATAATAATATTAATCGTGGTATAATATTATTTTTCAGTTTACTGTAGCGTACTATAAACAAATTATGAAATATAATGGTTTTTGGATTATAAGAAAACTAAAGACTACCAGGGTATAGGGAATAAAAAAAAATTTTTTTTCGCTGCCATATCAGCTGGAAAATTAATTAAAAATCATCTGAAATGTATGTTGCTTTTTAATTCAATTGGAAAGTCGAATTGAATTAATGGTCTAGCGGTTTTATTTAAACCATTTTATCAAGAATGTTTTCAGATTTTTGGATGTAAAGTTGTTTTTCTTTAAAGTTTCAAACAAAGATTAAAAAATAATGGTTTGAAATAACGCTGACCATGAACGCGAATGAACCATTGTAACGTATTTCATTCTATATTATCCAACACTTTCAACTAATGATGAGAACCACCGCACTGATTGAAGTTAAAAATTATGAAAGTTCTTACATGGATTTGATTAAAAGTCAATAGCTTCATAAACTGAACCCATATCATAATACTCACTGAATGATTTGTAGACGGACATTTAACATACATCAAGAGTGAATAAAGTTATTGAAAACTAGATAAGCTTACTGCATTCTTACCATAAGTTCATGAAAACAGCAACCTACTAGGGCTAATGAAATTTTTAAGGCAATTTTAACTATTGTACAACTGTCCACCAATGTATTAAATAGTCATTTGTTACACAATTTTATGACTAGTTCTATGTACATTCATCTATGGTACTAATGAAAAGTGATTAATTCTTTTATTGTCATCTACTTATGTTAAACCTTTCTTTGTTATTTTCAAGTTGTTTTTCTTTAATTCAAAAAGGATTTTTTCATGTTCTAATTAACTCATATTTACCTATGTACTAACACATTTAATAATAATCAGTTCATTAATTTATTATGTAATGCAAAATCGAATAACTATAATACAATAAAGTATTTATCTAGTATTATACTTTCTTTAAGTTTAAAACTATATAACCAATATCAGTTTTTAAACAACCTATCAAAATAATTTTAGTTTAATTCCTGATAATAAATGTAGAAAATAAAAGATATTAACAATCGTTCCAATTTATTAGAAAGGGTTTGTGGAGATTTTAGATTTTTCACAGGTTGAAATCATGAGTCAATTGAAGGTAGACCACCATGGAAACCTTGAAAGCACTGGACGGCCGTTTCGTCCTAGTAGGGGGTTCCTCAACAGTGCGCATCCACAATCCCGCCCTCGCGAGATTCGAACTCAGGACCTTCCAGGTTTTCCATGGTAATCTAACTTCAACTGACTCATATATTCAACTATTGAAAACACTAACAATCTCCAGAAAAACCTTTCTAATAAGAATCATTTGCTCACTAGTGACTGACTTCAAGCGGCATTTCCTGGAGTTCTAGTGTGAAGCCGTGATAAGTAGAGTTCAACCAGGTTTGTCGTAAGATATCAACTCACTGAAGACAATGGTATACGGTGGCGCATTCTAGTTTAATCTTGTAGTTCTAAAGTCAATATCAAATAGGTTTGGTTTGGTTTGTTTGTTTGTTTGTTTTGCTGAATAAATCCATTAGGAATCCTCTTATACAAAAAAACCATTAATTTATTCTTTTTTGTTTGAGTATTTTACTAAAATGTATCATAAATAATTAAATATATCTTAGTGATAAATTTTAAAATATTCAAAAGAACCCAGAAAATTATATTTTTTTCACTTGTTTTTCTTTTTTGCGTAATTGAATTAAAACAAATTTTTTTGGACAATACTGTAATTTAGTATGAAATCCTTAAATAAAATTTATTCAAATATTCTTTTTTGAAAAAATAAAAGTGAAACAGTGAAAACAAAAATAAAAATATAGAAATGAAAAAAAAATGATATAAAAGATTGACTATCGATTATTCTTTACCTCATTTAGTGCTATCTAGAGACTATAGTGTTAATAAATGTTATCTGATTATTAAACTAGATAATAGGATATCACAATCTTGTATATTTGAAGATTAAAACGAAAATGATAAAGAGGTTTTTTTTGAAAAGGTAATAAATAACTTAAAATAATAAAAAGTAATGAATGATAATGATATGACAATCATTCTAAAGAAACATATGGAATCGATGTGCTAATGTGTTAATTCGCAAAATTCAATTATATTATAACCAGATATTAACATTCAGGATAAAACATATTCGTGGATTGGTTGAAGTTAGACATTAACACCATTGGATGCCGGCTTATTGGTCTAGTTGGTTAAGTGCCTGACACGAGACTGATAGGTCCTGGGTCCGAGTCTCGAGGGGTGCGAGATCGTGGATGCGCATTGCTGAGGAGTCCCACACTAGGGCGAAACGGTCGTCCAGTGCTTCCAGGTTTTCCATGGTGATCTACCTTCAATTGACTCATGATTTCAATCTGTGAAATTTCTGAAATCTCCACAAACCCCTTCTGATAATAAAACATACAACCTAAACTAACTTTTCTACATGTAAATGTGGTTTAATAGTTATTTCATGATGTATTTTAAAGATATAGGATAACTGTTATACATCAATTTGTTCTGGTTGTTAATGATAGCTGTTTTAGATTCCATTATTTTACTTCGTTTTGACTATTTAATCATTCTTGCTTAGTAACATTCTATTTTTGATGTGTTCAAAGTTAAATAACAATTACTTAACAATAGAATTATGTAAATTTGTTTAAAATGTGATTATGTTGTTTTTGAAAAGAATTTACTATATATTTTAAAAACCAATAGTCATTTAATTATTATTTATCATTTTCTGTCACTTTCTAAGTTAGATCTCTATTTTTCTTTCCTGAAATTGATCACTAACTACAGTTGGTACCATAAGTATCATATAAAAACTATATTATATATTATATTTACTTATTAATAAATAGTTACAACAGCTTACCGTTGTCATTGTCAGTATTACTGTTGATAAAGTAATGATAACTGTTATTATTGTCAATATCATCTGATAAAGCTTTATATGCGATATTTTGCAAAGCATGATAAGCTGTATCGTTGATGGTGGATATTCCAATATGAGGCGGAGACAATAAAGAAGAAGAATCCTGGAAATGCATAGAAAAAGGAAAAATTTAAAGTGAACATTTGTAAGTATTGAAGTAACCATTTAGAGGATAAAACAGTAAAAGTTTTGTAACTATAAAATCATAAAATCATGATATAGTTGACTGGGTAATATTTCTTTTTACTTTTTGATGGTAAAAATCATAACTTTAACAAAATATAAGATTATTGACCGTAAAGTTAGATATATACCAATGATTATAGTGCATAATCCAAATTAGTAATATAACAAAACAATCAGTTGTCCCTAATGATACCACGTTTGTGTTTGTACACATAACTCACTGGTTAAATTCAAAAATAAATTAGAATTAAATATTACGTTTTGTGAAATAAGAATCATTGTCAGAACATATTATTTATATGATGTGAATCGAAGATAGACCCACAATAACAAAATCTTAAGTAGATTTGAAAGAGATAAGATTATCTAAATGATCGCTTCACGGATGTGAATAAATTATAGTTTTATTCAACCTTGTAAAAGTGAATTTAACACTAAAAATTTGGAACCTAAACAGGGAAAACACGTATTCATAGTTCCCCATGCTAATCAAGGTCCAACTCTACAAACACATGTTTATTGTTATAAGTATTTAGATCAAATACATTAGAGGTTTATTGTCAGGAAATAATAGAAATTGATCTAAAATTTTAAGTCTACGCATTCTAATTCAATTCCCATAGATTAATTACTAGGATCTGTTGTTGTATAAATTATATCATAATTTAAATCACGGTCAAATCGTAGTTGGGTAACCATTGAAAACCGGGAAGTGGGGAATAAAACACCAGTCCAGTCCAGTTCGATGGTCAACCAACTAAGATCATTCCGTACTGTAGACTGCAAAACTACGACGATATCCGCAAGTCCCCTATACTAGTAAACTACATAAGTTCAAAAACCCTTTTTCAATGTTATTTGCAAACTGAAAAATTAACAATTACATATTCTTACATGTTTTGAGTTGAAAATATAAAATCTTTGTTCGTTCTCAAGAATGATGCAAAATTTTTTCACCCAAACGGGACTAGGAAGATTGTAAGCAAAGTACTTCCATTCAGAGTAACAGTTCTCAATCGAGTCAACATCTGTTAGAAAGTTTCAAAATCATATTTATCGATGACATTACCCCAAACGTCCAGCCACGATTCAAGTCGTATAGGAAAATCCTTAAGATACGACATCTCTATGAAAATCGGATAGATTTAGATACTTCTGCACTTTTCGATAGTCTTGTCTTTAATTCGTTATATGAATTGGAGCATAATATACATACACAAAGAAATCTGAAAGAGAAAGGCAATGTGTAAAATTGATCCTTGACATGTGAACTAAGGAGTCATAGGAGAAGAACTTAAGATTTTTTTCACACATTTCCTGACATAAAAGACAAACTCACATATCAGCAAATGAAATATATGTATTTACTCACTGTTCTACACTAGTGCGATTATGACAATAAAATTACAGCTCTGTGAAATATCACTTTTTGAATTGATTTACAACGAATCGAACTTAGGTAAAAATCTGATTAAATATGACAAACAAGTTATTAACATTGACAATCTTCCAGACAAATTACAGATTCAAAAGTTTTTATTTTTCAAAGAGTACCTTGCTTACACTATGATAAAAAGTGTCGTTTTAAGTAGAGGGTTATAAAATTAAAGTGTTTTATGGTGTTTCAAAGTTCCATACAGACCTTAGAATTTACTGACGGCAGATTATGGAATTGACCACTTTCCAAAATTTAAGCAAAGCAGTTACAATGCACTTTGTCAGTTATATACAGTCCAGTAGAATGAAAGTGGTTCAAGATCCTAAGATAACTAGCCTTCTGCTAAATGATGTGTCCATCAGAGAACAGTAAACTCCCCAACTTAAAACTTTGCAAGTTGAGGTCTCGAATTGAGATAGGATATCTTCAAGTAACTGAAGAATTTAAACTTATCATTCAGTATAACGAAGATTTATTGGGAAAACAGAAAAAGCTACATATCAGTTAAAACTACTGAACTATAATTGTGACAGAATGAAAAGCAAGACATTAAGCTAATCATAACGTCAATTTTAGGTTCAGAATACATGACTGACATTGTCCCTACAAATCTCAGCAAAGCAGGAATAAATTTTTTACTAATCACTTTGAATACAGAAATTATGTCTAGTTTGGATTTTGTTTGTCTTGAGTTGCAGTTAGACGGCGAAAACCGTTCTGATATCTAAAACCTGAGATTAGTATCACTTTAAACGTTTTACATGGGGCAAACAAGTTAAAAAGACAAAATGCTCGAATGTTCTGTTGGACATATTCCCGAGGACATAGACTTAAACTGATAGAACAGAGAACTGAAGTCCGGTGCGCGTTAGTCACCGACAATAAATCGGTATAAATATGGAAGTTTACCTTGGCATTATTTAAACTTATATATATATATATATATATATATATATATATATATATATATATATATATATATATATATATATATATATATATATATATATATATATATATATATAATATGATGAAAGATAATTGTCTTCTGTCAAAGATTATGTATACTTGACATTATTTTCTTTTAATCATAAGGTACATAATTATAAATCAAGTATCCATCTAACTGTCATTTGCTTAAAATAAAACAAAGTAAATGATACCGAATTCTTATTAAAAACACTTAGAGTAGCCATACACGTTTATTATCAATAAAAAATGGCTCAAAATGTTTCTGTCAAGATTGTTGCAGATAACTGTTACGCAAATGACCCAAAAACTGAGAAAAAACCACCTATTTCTGAAGTGTCGTTTTTCAGTCGTAACAGAGTGAACTTTCATTTATATCATCAATATCGTACAAATACTTTATAGTTAAAATCCTATAGGAATGTGATAAACAGATGCGTTGAAGGTTTTAATGGTATTTTGTCGAACATTGTTAATCGTTTTTTGAATTAGACATGGTTAGTAAGCTGTACAAATAATGTCCAACTTCTGCGAGATGCAGCTGAAATTTTAAAGTAAGATGTGCTAAAAGGCTTTCCACTTAATATATCAACAAACAACTTTCATCAACTAATGTAAAACAGTGTTGTGTAAGCTAAAATGTAATCAGATTCTAGTGGTCATGCGCATGTAGACTTCAATAATATGGTTAACTGGTCTAAAGAGCGGTTGATGCCTATCAACTCGGAAAAGTGTGTCTACATGCACTTGGGGGATTCAAAGGTTAATACGTACAACATAGGGATGTGTCATTACCAGTAGTCTGGTCTCATAAAGATCTAGGGGTGACAGTGAGTAACGATCTTAAAACGACGGCCAATTGCCAGGAGGTCACAGCCAAGGGGTTTCGAACCCTCTGGGCTTTAAAAAGGACATTCACTAAGTTAGATATTACCATGTTCACCACAGTATACACATCTTTAGTGAGAACTAAGCTAGAGAACTGAGTTCAGGCTGCAAGCCCCTGCTTAAAAGGTGACTCGGACATACTAGAAAAAGTACAGAGGGCAGCTACCCGTGCAATTCCGGAACTCTGGGGTTTATCATACAAAGAGCGGCTTGAAAAACTGGACCTCTTTACTCCGTCCTATCGCAGACTAAGGGGAGACCTAAGTTTGATGTACAGAATACTGAGAAATGATTTCGGACCTAACTTATTCTCTCTCTTTCTTCCTACTAGATTGGGACACCATAGAGGACATAGCAGGCAAGTAGAAAAGCCAAGAACGAACAAAATACCCGTGGCATACAGGTTTTCACACCGAGTCATCAATACTTGGAACCTGCTGCCTGAAGCATTGGTGTCCGCACCTTCAATTGGCTCTTTCAAGAGAAGACTGAACACTCACAGAAGCATACTAGAAAAGGAATGACATAGGCCTTAGGCCTTCTGTCCTTACTACACAAATCTGAAAAATCAAATGTTCGCTGGAAAACAAACAGATCAGCCTTGCAAAAAATCAGTTTATTTTCAACATACAAATGCTTTAGAATATCTACCGCCAAAGTGCTGAAAGTAGATAGAATTTTAGTTTTATTCTCATTGACTAAACCCGATAATATGAGGTGATAAGTGATAAAACCTAGCAAATACTTACGTCTAATTACAAAAAATCTCAGAATGTGTTATCTCAGGTGAAAATAACTTGACCCCAACACAAAAACGTTCGAATTGTATTCGCTATAATACACGGTTTTGAAAGCAAACTTGACCCACGGTGAGAAATAACGCTTCAAGAGTTAACCATCCAGAGTGAAAACGTACTTGAGTATTCAACATTCCACTTTACTTTAGGGATAAACCGGACTCTGTCCACAGCAAACGCACACATAAGGACGAAAGTATTTTAACGCTGCTTCTAGTTGAAATATTTTTGTGGTACACCTTACGGATATATTTTGAAGTTCTATTGCCGTTTTATCAAAAAGAGAGGAAAAATAGAAAGGTTGATACTCGAAAATCCCTTTTATAAATAAATTATATGCATAATATGACACAATCCGTAGATAGTACGACAAGATACTGACAATGTCATAATATACAACTTGTCGAAATAGGCGAAATACTTAAACGTCATAATTTTTGTTGTATTATATTTTAAAAGTTTATTGTCTACTGACAACGCGCTTGAAGCTCATAATTGCATTTTAGGCATAATAACGCGAAAATAAAAACGGAAATATTCAGTTACAGAAATAATTTCAGCATAAACACGGTTTCTACAACCAAATGTCGCTTCATTTTATATGACTCAGTTACCGTGATACCTGGACCACTAAACAACCCTTTCAAGGTCACCAAAATTGAGGTTATGATAGTTAAAACTACGAACTTTAAGTTTATCATGTTAAGTTCTCGCCTTTCATCAGTTGTTCCACCAAAACATTCATGAAAAACATGACTGTCATTTTGTACATCATGACTGAATTCAAAATTATTCCTAGCATATAAATCAAAAAGCGCTATAATTATGTACTCTGGAACACTAAACACCACTAATTTTTATTATATTTGGTCTGTTTCACAAATAAAGTCAAAGAGCTCAGAGTTGAAATTTTTCAGGACAATATTTCTCATCATTATCATAACTGTACGGATTTGTTTTTCAATTTATATGACATAACGTTTCTGAGATAAACATGTAGTTCATTTACGAGAATTCGTTTTCAAGCTGAAACGCAAATAAGCTGATCGTTCAACTATTTGCGTTCACTCCACCAGCGTACATATACCACGGTAAATGCCACTGGAAAACTAACAATAAAAACGAACACAACAAAATCTAAAACAAAATCACTTACCTAATTTCTTTCTATTCGCTTCCTATTTTCCCTGTTACCTTCAGGATTCTACGTCAGAGCTTACATTTTGATGATTTCAACAATGTACGTCCTACCCACATGCAGTATTTTTTTCTAACTTCCTCTTCAGATGGAAACTGGTTTGTTCTCTGTTATCGTAGGTTGTTGGTGATGTTATCTGACCAACGGACATTGAGTATTCTGCATAGACAACTTTTAATAGGTACTTGCACCTTTGTACCATGATTGTATTAGTTTTCCAAGTTTCAGCTCAGTACAGTAGAACGGTTTTGACGTTCGTACTGAAGATTATGACTTTGGTGTCGACTGACAGTTGTTTGAATTCTATCTTTTCTTCAGTTGTTGGAATCCCATCTTGGCTTTGAAAACACTTGCCTTCGAGCGTGACAATTTTTTTTGTGGAGGAGGACATTGGCCTGATGACTTTCGATCAATACCGGCTTTCACCATGAGGCGTTACAGTTCTTCTAAGTAAAGATCTTTCAACTTGCATGTCAGAAGTTAAATGATTTAAATTACTCACTCTTCTCAGCCCTTTTAGCTAGTTTGTCTTCTACAAGACAAGGATATTAATATCATGCTCAACCATCCTCTTTTATTCGGGCTTGAGACCAGGAGAAACCCCGAAAGAGCTCCCGGGTACAATTGGGACTAAATAATCTGGAATGAATTCCAACCACGATTTTTAAACAACCACTATTAACAACAAGGTATGCATTTTTTTAACGAAAAGACCGGTCACAACCAAGAATTTGTACTAAATTTTTAAAGCCTTCACATAGCGCAAACAAACAACTATCCTATATGTTAAAATAACTAGTTTCAGCCTCCTTAAATTGAACAAATTAAATACCCGTATGAACTACGAGTACATAGAAACATTCAGGAATAGAAGGAATGACTTCGAACGGCTGATATTTAGCCGCACAAACAGCTGACGAAGCGAGTACGATTAGGGAAACCTAAATATATTGTTCATAAAAGTCCTCTGGCGTACAAGGTATTCTGAAAACACGACAATCAGGTAAGTTCACAACCGTGTAGATATAATGTGACTAATTTCTGAGCCTCATATTTTTATTAGCAGTCCGAATTTGTTCCTCTGATTTCAAAGGGAATGGTGTTCCTGTTTGAAGAAACAAAGTTGAGAAAAATATCTAAAAATATGCTATTGTTTGCAATGTATCTGGTGATACCACGTGGTTGTCCATTTGGTTTTTATTACTTATCGCAGCAATCTGTACATTTGTTTATAAGTATATTTTTCATTAGGTCAGTGATCTCTATTATACGTTGGGCGGTATTTGGAGTTTTGTAAGTAAACAGCTTAGTCTGGTTTCACATACATTGATCTATTCTCTATTTTTCCCTTCGACTTCACAATCAAGATGATTTTAAAAAGAGATAAATTGACTTATTTCATTCTGTCAGCCTAAGAAGAAAATGTTGTGAGCGTAATGATCCTTATTATTCAGTTACGTTGTTGTGAATCAGCCAGACCTAAACCGACCAATCAGCCAGTTGGTGGATATCACTGTCGGTTAAGATCCGAAAAATGACTAAAGTCTCCTAACCTTTGAGATTCAACATCACTTACAGTTATTAATAAATCATTCCTCCTAATTAGTAATTTTAATGTCATTGGATTTGATAATATCACTTTTCTGTCAAATATTGTCTACGTATATCAAAACAAAAGAAACACTAAATCTGATGTTGATAATATTGGTTCGTGTTACTGAAACACTAGACATGTGAGTTGTAGTAGTGTTACCAATCATCGAATATATAGCAAGAAATACAGCGGCATTGAGATTATTATAGCAACCGGATGGTATAAATTATCAACGTCAAACGCTGAAAGTTGGTAAATGAACGACAGTTTAATTCGAGATAAACAGGCAAAAAATATTTTTGGTTGAGTGATATTTGAAAACAGAAATGCCTTTGTGCATGTAGCATTTTAAATCAGATTTTGTGCCTGAGAAGTGTATGGTTAAGTTTATTTTACGCAATGTCAGTAGCGAATGTTTTGTAAGTATCTAGTCATCGAAATTATCGTTTTAATTTCTTAATTTAATCTCATAATATCAACGTGAAAGTTTTAATCTTTGGCGCATGAAAAATTAAAACTCTCTAATTCGTTAGTGTTTACTATATGCCACGCAGTGTTTCGTAAAGTAACTTAATCAGTTTATTGGTGAAACGTGGTGATTTTCAAATTTTTTATTAATCGCAACATAAATCATTTTTCAATAGTTGAGATCACCAGTCAATTGAAGCTAGACCACCATTGAAAACCTGGAAGTGCTGAACAGCCGTTTCGTCCTATTGTGGGACTCCTCATCAGTGTGCATACGTGATCTCGCCCCAAGGGATTTGAGCTCAGGACCTAAAAGTCTCGCGCGCGAGCATTTAACTAATAGACTACCGAGCCGGCATCCAACGGTGTCAATGTCTAACTTCAACTAATCCATGAAATTAGCGACACATCCACCATCATTTTTAAAGTGGCTTCATTTGTGTATTACACACAAATAAACACGAATATAAAAAAATGTTAAATACATTTTTGTAACAAGTGAATATTTCGACATCAAATCCAAATGGCTGAACGTCCCAACAATAACCATTTTCGACGGACAAATAAGATGTAGATTGCATTAACGTTGATAATGGACTTAGATCCGAAATATTGAATTTCTCGTATACTAAACTGTTGAATGAGTACGAAGTCATTTGTATTTTTCTGTACTGAAGTTCGATCTCGATATGATCACAAAAAGCTTTTACTTCACTGTTGAATAGTCTAAAAATATTAAAAATCCTCTCTTCACATTTATATGCACCAGTACTTAACATATCAGTGTTCTTCACTTGATACAGACACTAATGAAACATCAAGAGGTATTTCAAATATTTGAGGTATGATCGAATTATGATTATTATTCTCAAGTTCTTATGTGGCTCATTCACTGCGGCTTCATTCCCCATGGATTGTTATCTCAGTTGACATTACCCATGAAAACACATCTGTTGTAATAGTGAGCTGACCTCACTATTTAATTTTCAACATATGGCAAACTAATGTAAAATTTGTGGTAAAAATTGTAGTTTCGGTTATTATTTTAGGCCCATATACCCTATGCTAGCTTTCGGACAGGCGAATCTACTCATTCTAATTAGGTCATGTTTTGACCTTGGTCATTATTCACATATAAAATTTGACTGTTTTTATATGAGCGTATGTGCGTGTACAGTTGTTATCCCGTTATTCATCACATGTCTGTAACCTATTTTTGTGTGACTAAAAATATTGATTAACGCTTGAATAAATTGAAATAGCTCACACTCCTTCCCCACTGCACGTCATTTTGCTTCCCTCTCTATTGTTATTACTATTCGCAAACATCTTATTGGTGCATAAGTGTTGTGAAGAAATTATTTCGGGTTTCTTCAAAAATGCGATAATACACATGTTTCAATAACGGAGTAATAATAATAGAATAATAACAAATCAGGTTATGTGTAGCTGAGAATAATATTGAATTGAGTTTAAAAAGGAAATATGCAAATAGTTTAGTAGGCGTGTTTATGAACACAGTAAAAAGATAAACGACTACGTATGTATCGTAAAATTAGTAACAAAAATAAAATAGAAAATAATTAAGAAAAAAATAGCTTATTATGACAGTAAGATATGACGCTAGAATACATTTTTGTGCGGTCATAGTTTGGAGTGACGCCCTTCGCTTTTGTGATATTTTGTCTGGATCAAAGATTCGAAATTCATTCTCGTGTTTGGCTCATTTAATTCTGTTACTGGCTAACGCTATTTAGGTCAGTGCAATATACGAGGATAAGCGACATATACGTTTCTACAGAAATTCTTCAATAACGAACATTCATACAATGAAATTAGAATCATATCCTGTGCCACTAAAGCGGTGAGCCCGTCGACAACATCGTGCAGTCTAATTGATGTCCAAGGGAAGGGCCACTAAAAACTAAAACTTAACCTTAATAAGTTTTAGTAACCAATCGCATTTCGTAGGGTCAGAGTTCACAGGCACTGATAAATAGTATAGTGATAAGTTCATCTCACTCACACTCAAAATATTGGTATGTCCCAATGATAAGTCCTGAAAATTGAACGCTATATTCGTTTCCCAAGCTATTCTGTAACCCCCACGCTAGACTTAGACAGTGACCTGAACACGAGAGATAAGGCGTAAAGTATACGAGAAGTGCTTTATTCTAAAGGTTTATTTTAATACAAAAAATATAGGGTTTTTATAATATTTTAAATGACCTTGAAGTGCTCGAAGATTTTGAAATGCTACTGAACAAAGTAGCAGTATAGCAATCAGCCAATCAGAACCTCTACATGTGACGTTTCACTTCCTTGATGTTTCTGGCCAAAACTTCAAGTGAACGATGATTGGATGAAATGCTCCTCAGTTTTACTTGATCCTTCCTTGTC